AATAATAGTAGTAGTAGTAGTAATAATACAAGTAGTAATAATAGTAGTAGTATAGTAATAATTCAGCAGTAGTATATATTATTTTAGTAGTAAATAGCGCTATAATAATATAGTAAGTATCAGCATAGTATAATAATAGTAATATGTATAGTATAATAGCACATATATATAACTATATATAGTAGTAATAATAATATAGTATATGTAATAATAGTAATAAATTCCATTAAACCTGAGGTAAGGCTTTTGATATTTTTCACATTTATTTCCTCTGAAAAATATTTTTCATCACATTTATCCAGCATTTCAAATTTCTCTCTTCTCACCCAAATATTTTTCTGTTTTTTACCAATTTCTATATCCTTTTTATATTATATTTATTTTTATATATATGTTATTATTTTATAATTATATATCTATATATTATTTATATATTATATATTATATTTTATATTATATTTTGGAAATTTACCATAAAAAAAATCTATTTTTCTCTAGAATTTTAATAACTTTTAATTTTTTTTTTTTTTGGTCTCGCAAATTTTTTTTTTTTTTTTACTTTTTTTTTAGTCTGTTTTTTCCTGGTTTATTTGTGATTTATGTGTTTTTTCTTCGTGTTTTATTTGTGTTTTAATGCTATTTTCTTGTGCTTCTGGTGTTTTATGTGTTATCTGTGTGTTTTTTCGCGTGTTTTTCGTGTTATACATATTTTGTTAGTGCTTCACATATTTTTTTCGTGTTTCACATATGTTTTTCTTGTTTTACATGGTTTTGTTCTTCACATGTTTTTCGTGTTTCACATATGTTTCTCGTGTTTCTCGTGTTTTACAGACGTTTTTCACGTTTTACATATGTTTTTCGTGTTTAACATGTGTTTTCCGTGTACTCCTGGTGTCTTATGTCTTATTCCTATTTTCCGTGTGTTTTACGTGTTTTTTTTGTTTCCGTGTTTTTCCGTATTAAGCCTCTGTTTGACTTATCTAGAGAGCAACGTCTTAAAGCTCTTAGTGAACAGAGTGATACTCTCTGTCGATAACCTTAAAGAGTTGTGAGAGCTACTGTGCACTGTCTTAACCGCAGTTCCAATGGTACCTATTGTATTATATACAATGCATAGGTTCCATTGGACTTTATTTTGTATCTAAGAATGGTCGACATATTAATTGGTATGTTCGACAGGATTTATATTCAAGACCTCTAGAGATTGTGTCTTGAGAGCCTTCTGTTTTTCTATACTACACTCATACACCTCGATAATACAGGATAGTCGTCAGTCTGGGTGCATAGTCAGTCTCGGCGGATAGTCTTGGTGGGGAGTTTCAAGTATTCTGCTGTCAGTCTTTCGTCAGATTAGGTTAGGTTAGGTTAGGTTCGTCAGGAAACACACAGGCGTTTCCTGACGCTGGTCTTAGTTATATGATGACCAGCTACTGGAGCTTTCGGTCATCTGACGGAGACCTTCCACTGGCTTACCGATCCATCCCTTATACTTATATCACCATTCCATTTTTCATTAACGAGGTGGCTAGAAAATTTCCCGACTGTGTTGTAGAAGTCGAGGGAAGACTACAGGAATCATATTGCATCCTGGTTACCTTCGGAAAAGAAATTGGATACAGAGATTGGACTACCAGAGACTCCACCTTATATGGGTTCCAAAATAAAAACGATATTTACAACTAGAAGAGAAAGCGTATGTTGAAAACGATTTAGAAAACCGAGAAGTTGAAGAATGAGAATTTGTACAGCATCTGGGAATCTCAAACATGTAGGAAAGAAAGATCACAGGACGTCACAGGAACTCACGGACTTGAGGAAAGAGAACCGAAGGTTTTCACATAGGTCACCCTTACTGATGGGACTTCGGGCCTTTGGACTTGAATCTCTAGTCATTTGTCTGTCTACTACAGTGAAAACGCTTCTCAAAGGTGCCTCCGTCACGGTCGGAAGAACGCACTTGGCTTGTGTCAGTGACAGACCTAGTAACAGAAAAGATTTCATTTTGTATCTTATCACTGGTAAACTATACAGATAAGTTGTTTAGGAAGAAATATGACCATCATTGAAGATTGTATTGACGAGGCTGAGGGACTGATTGCCACACAATTGCCTCTCCACCTCTTCTGTCTCCAGTTATAATCTCCTGTAACGAACAGAACGTTTCGACACCAAGTATACACAGGTGCTACTAGACACATGTGCAACATCTGGGTATCTTTATTTGTAGACGTTTCGCCATCTAGTGGCTTTATCAATACAAATTCAAGGACATTATGGGAAGACAGTAGAACCATATACAAAAGATGAGGTAATCAGTCCCTTAGCCTTTGAGTTGACGTGAAGAGCACCGTAGTCGTGAAGACTCTGAAGCACAAGGAGGAACACTGGTGCTTATATACCTTCGTCAGGTGAGCGTCGCGCAGCAGACGAAGACATTGTCACTGGAGGGCGAAAAGTCTACAAATAAAGATACCCAGATGTTGCACATGTGTCTCATTCTTCGTCTTCTCTGTATTATATACCATTCATGTACACACGTTCTACATATGTGTCTTGTTCTTTAGTAAAACACACCTCAGTGGATAGAGTTCAACTTAAGCCTTAAAAAAAGTTAGAGAATTTTGACTTTTTAATTTGCATAGCATAATTTTTTGGTCTTTTTTTTGGGGGGGGGGCAGGTTTTTATGTATTTATTTAGGACTTTATATAAATTATTTTAAAAGTTTTTAAAACATTTGAAGGACTTCTAACTGGTCACATGTCCTCCTGAGGATATTCTCTCTCTCTCTCTCTCTCTCTCTCTCTCTCTCTCTCTCTCTTCTCTCTCTCTCTCTCTCTCTCTCTCTCTCTCTCTCTCTCTCTTGTTTACCAGAATCTAGAATGAGAACATTGTGTTCATAATGAGTTTCCACGATCCTGTGTGTTCTATCTCATTATCTTTATCACTCTCTCTCAGTCTCTCTCATTTTCTCAATTTATCTACTCTTCTTTCCTGAACCATCAAGATCTTGAGAGAGAAAGTTTTAATTAAAAGAGAAAGTATATTTGAAAATTCGAGGGTAAGTATAAGTAATGGAGAGAGTGAGAGTGATAGAGTGGAGAGAGAGAGAGAGAGTGAGAGAGAGAGAGAGAGAGAGAGAGAGAGAGAGAGAGAGAGAGAGAGAGAGAGAGAGAGAGAGAGAGAGAGAGAGAGAGAGAGAGAGAGAATGTGTGTGTGAGTGACAGAAAGTGAGTAAGAGATAGAGAGAGAGAGAGAGAGAGAATGTGTGTGTGAGAGTGACAGAAAGTAGTAAGGAGAGAGAGAGGAAGAGAGAGAGAGAGAGAGAGAGAGAGAGAGAGAGAGAGAGAGAGAGAGAGAGAGAGAGAGAGAGAGAGAGAGAAGCACTCAGTCCTCATTTTTAATGGCACTGAATCGCCTTTAAAAGTGAAATAACTTTTACCTATATATATGCATATATATAACAGGGTTGAAACCTCTATAATCAGGGGAGAGGGTTTAATCCTCTATAATCGGGAAGGGATTTAAACCTCTGTGATCGGAAAAATGAGATATAAAACATGTTTGAAATTGTGGCAGTGTGTGTTTTTTTTTTTTTTACAAAACAGTCACTGCGCTTTTAAACCAGAGTGTGGGAGAGAGAAAGAGAGAGAGAGAGAGAGAGAGAGAGAGAGAGAGAGAGAGAGAGAGAGAGAGAGAGAGAGAGAGAGAGAGAGAGAGAGAGAGAGAGAGAGAGAGAGAGAGAGAGAAAGAGAGAGAGAGAGTGAGAGAGAGACAGAAAGATCTGTCATTTCAGCAGAGCCTTCAACATAGGAGGGATGTGGGTGGCCTTACTGTTATGTACAAGGCCAATATTGTCAAAGTACCACACTTGGATCCACTTCGAGGACAGCGTGAAACAAGCTTTTATGCCACAAGACGGGCAGAAAGCAGCAACTTCACTCTGGCTGTACCCTTCTCCAGAACATCACTCCATCTGAGATCATATATACCCAGGATGACTCGAGTATGGAACACATTCGTACAGCATAATGATGTCAACGAGATAACGTCAGTTGATCAAATGAAAATGCTGGCCCACAGATGGCTCC